ATGTGGTGGGGAGGCTCACGATCAGGGATGTGACAATATCCAAATCTCTCAGCACAATGTTTTCATGATATACATCTCATGGTACGATATTTATTGCAATATTTTGTGGAGGCTAACAAAACTGTTAATATTCTACTTTTTCCCCCTTAAATGCCTTGACAAGACTCAAACACGTGTGAGCGCAAAAGAACAAAACTCCAGGTATGTTTTTGGAGCGATAACAGCATCATAACATGGCTGAAAGCTCATAAGAGTCAAATCTGCATACTATGGGACCTTTAAAGGGGCTGTAAAATTTGCCTTGTCCCAGTACAGATAATATAAAAGCAGCTTTAAATTCAATGAAACCGTGGGTGATATATGGAAACAGGTGAATACATGTAAAAGGTAGATCGTGCACACAGTGTTATGCTTTATGTAATTCTGCCTAAACATCTACCATGCAAAGCAGCTGACTTAATTATAGTAGCGTGGTTTTTATATTGATCCCTTTAGAGAGGAGAGAGACGGCTTGGATTCAAAGGTCAGTGCAGAGAGACCACAATGTGGAACCATGACCCCAAAGTGTGAAGTGTTCTGCTTCACTAACATGTCCAATATGTGTGAAGACAGCTCATCTCCATCTTTTTGCACTTCCAACTCAATGTGTGTAAATTCATGTGACATATATCTGCATGGATGATCTGCAATAAAAATACTGACCAAAGATAATGTTAAATACAGCTGGCAGGTTACTCACAAAAACAGTGTTAAATAATAATAAATTAACACTTTTATTTTATTAATTGAAGGTGAAACAAGCAGAAATGTGCCTTACTTAACTTTCCCTGCATTTTAGATAGAATCTCTATTATCTGTGTTGATAACATAGGTAGAGATATTCTGTTACAGAACTCAAAGCTACTTCCTGTATTTCTGTACTTTTCCTTTCAACTTTTCCCCCCAAACTGCCGCTTATGTTAAGAAAAATGATCAGAATTAAATACCACAGGCACTATCCCACCAAAGCAAGTAATTATTAGAAAAACATGAACCTCACCAGTCTTGTTAAACTGCACTGAGACCTTTGACTGAGACACAAAGGCGTCTGAGAAGTGCAGTGGAAATGTTGCTGGATCGCAAAGACTGCAATTTTTGAAGAAGCATCATTTCCTCAAACAACAAAACATTCAGTCTTATTTTACAGAAACTTGCTCAACCTGTAGTTTTGATCTGTAAAAACATGTTCTGAAATGTAAGTCTTGTATCAGTTTGTCATATTTTCATTTTGTTCATATTTCAGTCTTTTTCTTAATTCTCAGAGCCATATATTTGCCTATGTACAGACTTCCAAGAAGATATGTAGTGAGCTTTAAGTTGTGTCATAATGTCGTTACCTTCTCAAAAGCACACCTGGAATTGTGTTTTGTTTCATTCACACATCTGAGTAATCCTATTTTATTAGACTATCTACATTTCCAAAGCTCAAAATGCTTTGCTCTGCTATATTATCTTTCATTTCATGCAACAATAGAATGCTGTGTCTGTGTTTTAGAATAAAGAAATATTGCATTACATCAAACAGCTGGATCAGTATTTAGCCAGCAGTCAACCACATTACAGCGATTACATTTTGTTTAGGTTAGGTTAGAGTTCTGTCTCATTTCAATTGATTACAAACAGAAAAAAAAAAATCAAATGGTAGATTCCTGGAATTACCAAGAGAGAAAGCTGCAGTTCCAGTGGCTGCGGAATGGTAAATGATTACATTTTTATATAGGGCTTTTCCACCTTCAAGGCACTCAAAGCACTTTACAACAAGAAACCACTTACCCATTCACACACGCAGACACTGGGGGTGAGGTGGGTTAAGTGTCTTGCCCAAGGACACAACAACAGCATTCATCTGTGGGAGCTACAATCACACCAGCCAACCTGTGGGTCAGTGGATCAGCCCACTTACCAATGATGTTTATGTCAAGCGCAGGATTCAAAACACCAAACTTGGGATCAGTGGACAAATGCTCTTACCAACTGGGCTACTGCTGCCCAAATGGAGCTCCACTTCACCACACATGGTTACAATAAACTAAACATCAAAAGCAGTCCTCAATGCCCGTCGCAATGTTTGTCAGAATAATTGCAATTTGATATTTGCCTCTCCACAGTCCTAATTTGGCCAGATGGCATCACACATTTGCCCCCAAGAAGATAGATAGTTTTAAAATTGACTCTTGTGAGCTTTAAGGAGTGTTATAATGTTGTTATCTCCCGAAAAACATACTTGGAATTGTGTTGTGCTTTGGTTCATTTACACGTTTGACTAATCCTATTAGTCCATCCACAAATCCAAAGATCAAAATGCTCTGTTCCACCTTGTGATGTCATGAATCCGTAGTTTTCAAGTTAACAGCTACTTTTTACTTTCTGTTAAGTAAAGATTGGCAACCTATATGCACTTTAACCAGCTGTTACATTATGAAGTAAGACATTCATCATTACTGTCTCTTATATCTACTTGTTGTTTTTAACCTCACCCTTTTACATTCCTCTTGGAGCTTGTGTGTTCTGAGAGGAATTAAAAAACAACCTTCTGTCAGACATATTTTACCAGTGTTCTTAGCCTCGGGGCAGCTCTACATTTTCTCAAGTCAAGCCAGAAAAGTCAACCCCCGTATAGTTACGCTGTGTAAATGACCAATGCTGTAATTACACTGTGGAGTTTCAAGATCAGCTGTCAAAGAAGGAAAAAGAAAGCTGTTTAAAGCACTACAGTCATCAGTCTACCTTTGCAAGAAACTAGGTGGCTTGGTTATTTATTTATTTATTTTGTTTTGCTTTTGTGTCTATAGCTGTCTTTATTTTCTCAGTAATTCAACACAAACTCATATCGCAGAATCCTGTTAAGGAGTTTTTTTCACATTGCAAATACGCACTTTAACTGGGCTTCTGCAATGAAGCTATTTAAATTCCTTTTTTTTTTTTTTTTTTTTTTTGCAATGACTTTTGAATATTAGTGGTTTCCCTTGCACAAAACATTCAAATATAAAACTCCTGGTGAGCCTGGGGTATAGTAAACAAAAATGTAATTCTGTACATATTAGCTGAGCCCTAGCTGGAAGTTTAATGCAGATGATACTATGCCGTGTCCAATGCTTCCACCAGGCTTCATAATTGTTGAATATTTAATAGCAATGTTTTTTTGTGATAGAAGAGAAATAAAAAGAAGTACAAAAACTGCAGTAAGTAAAACTGTTGTGAGTGCTGTAAACAAAAACCAGACAGCTGCAGTTCACACTTTTATGCAAATGTGCCATCCAACATGGTTAATAATTCTCCCACTGTGTGAGAGAGAAAAGTGATTCATCTCAGATATTACCAATGTGAGCTGTATTTAGGATTTAGTAACACTGATTACAAATGGAACATTACTACAATTTGATATTTTTCACTTACTTTCCAATTTGCAATTACTCTTCAGCTGTGACGTAACACGATTCCATTAACATAGGAAGTACAATTTGAGGAGAGTGGACTATGCTGCTTTGAAGGACAACTACAATGGCCATGGTTTTGATGTTATGCTAATAGACATATGCATTATATGAATTCATAACAGCCCGTTCTTTAGGGGAAATTAGTCAGCGCTGATTGAACAATTCCTCCTCCTGTGTTTTTAAAGACCATCCAATAAACAGCAGACTTGATCATCCGGCATTCAAATTGTCTCCACTGCACTTCACTGCACTGAGACTAAATCCACTGTTTTTATGCACAAACGTACATATCGCAAAACATGTCAAATAAGGCTTTAAGATAATTCCATGTCATTTAATAGAGAGATAATCAGGCATAGGTTCATTTTACCAAACACTGTGTCGTCTTCAAAGTGCTGCTTTTGTCACTAGTGAAACTACAGCACCTCAGAGACAGTCTGAATGACACTAAAAGGACGTGCAAAGCTTTTAGGACGTCTGACTCCTTTAACAACAACTGTGTCCAGCTCTAAGCCTGAACTCTGTACTGCTCCCTGTTCTGCATCCATCAAACCTCAGCGCCCTTACACAGCGGGCTCCACTTCAGCGCCCACTGAAATGATGATGACCCCACAATATGATCAAGATGAACCAGTTACGATTGATCTGTGCTGATTGCGTTTGTGGTGTCCTTTTGTTTTGTCTTCTGTTGGCAATTTCAGAGCACAGAATAGCCTATTTTACTGACAAAAAAGAGAGAAAGAAACAGGTTAAAAGTGTACTTGGTCCTATCAAAAAAGTAGCGTGTTTAAGTATTAATATATATGTAATTTTGTCCAGGTATATCAATAGTATCTCCATGGAGGCAGCAGGCGTTCCACCAAAAAGTTACGTAGTGCACCTTTTAGGTAAGCTCCTAAGATCCTACATAAAAGCTAACAACAATATCTGTTTTCAGAGAGATTACCCCTGCACGTGGCTGTGCTTTTGCCCGTGGGTTGATGTCATCGCCCTGTCTTCTCATATTCTGATTTGTGTGTCCGTGTGCGTGCTGGTGTTGAGTCCGTAGCTTCTCTGCGCGCCACCTCTCCATCGCTGCGCGTGCACGTCACTCCGCAAAGCCGCTGTCACCGCTCACCGGGCGCACAGAACCGTCTCCAAACTTTGCTGAGCTGTTAGCTGGGAGACAAGCAAAGCGACTCCACTTCCTGATAAAAAGAACCCACTGTATTCGACTCCGCTTTAATCTTTAATTGACACGCGCTTTAGTTTGGCTAATACAGGTGAGTGACCCGCCAGATGTGTGCATGTGCATGCTGCGCGCCTTTTGCTTTGAATAATACAACTGAGATTTTCTGTGCAGGAGCTACAAGTAACAGCCCAGATTTCTTCTTTAAAGTCTGTGTTGATTTTACATAATTTCTTGTCTTTGAGGCGCACGTTTTAACCTTAATTGCGTTTATTTGTGGCGTAATCAGCCAATATCTCCCCTCAGCCATTTGCTCAAATCCAGGAGTTTTGCACTGGCACGGTGAAATATCAGAGATGGAAGTTGAAATCTACAAAGAGGACAGTAAGTGCGTCTCTGGACCTCTGGAGAACTGTCCGATGAACGCGTCTTCGTCGTGGGCATCTGGATACACGGACAGCCGGAACGCGACGCCGAATGAGAGCTGGGAACAGGAGGGCATGTCCCCCATCATCCCCATCATCACCGCTGTGTACTCCGTGGTGTTCGTAGTTGGGCTTTTTGGCAACTGTCTCGTCATGTACGTCATAATTAGGTGAGGATAAGCGTAATATCCACATGGTGAATTACGTTAAGGTTAAAGTACAATACAGTATTGATTCAAAGAAAGCTTTTTTATTTTATAGTTTTCATATTGCTGTGCCATCTGCTCTAACTGGATTTTGTCCCTGGATACAGTCAACGGTCACAAATGCATTCAGATAGCTTTGTCAGTGCCTCACTTCATTTGAGTGATAGAATATGGCATATTTGAAAACTAGCACAATGTTTCATAGAGGTTTCACTTTTATGTTTAAATGTTGTTCATGAGAACAAGTTCATGAGATCTGATGACTGTATCAGTTTCTCAAATCTTTAAAACCTTTTCTGTAGTTTTAACAATGCGATAGACCTACATGTCTAATAGATGTTCTATAACTCCTCACTGATCTGGCTGGGCTTGTTATCAGTTACTGCTAAACCAGAGAGACTGCCTGCAGCTCATTGGCTGTTATTTATGAAGTTTAGAGGAGCCATCTTGTTGATGTATAGTGAGAAGCAGCAGTGGCATCCTGAATGCTGTGGTCCACAGACAGCCATTACTTCAGATCAATCGCATTGACTGTGGCCAGACACACTTTTATCACTTTACAAGTGAAAAGGACTGCATTATGTGGTTTAGTGCTCTGCAGAGGGTCATTCAGCTGACTACTCAAATGGGTTTGGAGGATTAAGTATAAACAAGAACATAGAGATGTGCTTTCAGTGGCAGATTGTGCATTCATACGATACTTTTCTTAAAATCTTAACTAACTTGAAATGGTTTGTTAAACTTTTGATAATAAACACACCTGGAATAGATTGATATACAGCTTGCCAATGGAGATCCCTAGAATGTGGGATCAAAATGAGTTTGCGTGTAAAACATGGTATATAAACTATAACTTGGATAACTGAGAAAGAAAGTGGTGCTTTTGGCTACTTTTATTTATGGACTTCTTTATATAGTCTATGAATATAACTGAAACTTACAGCTCATCTTAATCTGATGGGGCAGATGGATGGCTTTACCTGTCATCAACTGTCACTTAATATAAACAATATGTAAACAGAAGACATTTCCTGCATTTACCATAACAATTTAGATGATATATTTAAATTATAAATAGCCCAATTACCAGTTTTTGTAACTATGTCATTATCAGATAAGTAGGCTTATTCAGTAAAAACTTAAAGAATCCTTAAAGAGTCCAGGGCATGAAATCAGCTACACATGACAACACAGAACCTCAAGTCAGAAGAATTACATTACAAATTCTAAGATGTTGCCCAGCCATAGTCCTAGAGCTTTTATAATTCTTAACAGGATTAGATGCGAAGTCTTGCAAAGCTTTGCACAAAACCCACAACATGAATTAATGCTGCTAATCTGTTTTGTCTAGGTATACCAAAATGAAAACTGCTACAAACATCTACATCTTCAACTTAGCCCTGGCTGATGCCCTGGTGACCACCGCAATGCCTTTCCAGAGCACAGACTACATGTTAAACTCTTGGCCATTTGGAGAGGTGGTGTGCAAAGTGTTTATTGCCATTGACTATTACAACATGTTCACCAGTATTTTCACTCTCACCATGATGAGTGTGGACCGCTATGTCGCCGTGTGCCATCCAGTCAAAGCCTTGGACTTCCGCACACCGGTCAAGGCCAAAATTATAAATGTCTGCATCTGGATCTTGTCCTCTGCTGCTGGGATACCTGCGTTCGTTCTGGGAGGGACACAAACAAATAGTGGTGAGAATGGAGTCAACATAATTTCTGTACTTAAGTGAACTTAGCAAAGAAAATAATATTTAAATAATATTTAATATTTTAAAAGCAGAAATATTTTATCAGCTGCACCTGTCAGATCTTTCCATTAGCCCTGCTTCTTCAACTGCATGAATACAAATTATGAATAAAATCTTTGACAGAAAATATTCACTTTTGAGCGCATATTAGCCCACCTCTAAGAAGTAGCAGAGTGCCATATAATTGCCTTTTGCTAAAAGTTCCTTGTAACTTGTGTTGCAGACATTACGGAGTGTGCCTTACAGTTTCCTGAACCGTACGGGTACTGGGACACACTAATGAAAGTGTGTGTGTTTGTCTTTGCCTTCGTGGTGCCCGTTCTCATCATCACCGTGTGTTACTCTCTCATGGTGCTGAGGCTCAAGAGTGTGCGCATGCTGTCTGGCTCTCGAGAGAAGGACCGCAACCTGCGCCGCATCACCAGACTCGTGGTGGTGGTGGTGGCTGTGTTTGTGGTGTGCTGGACTCCCATTCACATCTTCATCCTGGTGAAGGCGCTAGTGAGCATCCCAGAGTCTATCGCCATCACGGCTGCTTACTTCTTCTGTGTGGCACTGGGCTACACCAACAGCAGCCTGAACCCTGTGCTCTACGCCTTTCTGGATGAGAACTTCAAGCGTTGTTTCAAAGACTTGTGCCTCTCTGCACGGCTGAAGGGAGACAAAGTGTCTGGAAGTAAGAAGGGCCTGAGCACTGTGCGAGAGATGGCTGTGCCCCTGGAGAACCCTGATGGGACTAAGCCCACATGACTAGCAGTGGAACTGTCTTCTATTTCCCACATAGGAAAAGAAGATTCCAATGACCTAGGCCTGACCCATGTCACATCAGCAATGTGACCTTTAAGGATTTAGTAGGAATAGGACATGCACAACCAACATGGGCACCTTCTCAAATCTTCATCAAATCAGTATTGCTTGAATCACTCAACTATGTTAGATCAGATGGCAATGACAGCTGTGAAAACCAACACATTGTTCCCTCTGGGTAAAGTCATTTTACATTTTTAAAGTAATAGTCATCAACAGTTTTAAAGCTTGTGCCAAATAATCTATAAATGCTATTAAATGAAGCATTTAGTATTATGTGTTAGTGCCATATCTATCCCATCCATGAAACTCTACTGAATGCCAAAAGTGCCTTTTACAGTCCAGGATGTCAAGATGGAAGATTTGAAGAGGCTGTGGTCAAGCAGCACTTTTGTCCTCTTATTTTTACACATGAGAGGGGATATTTTATATGTTTAAATTATGGTCTGAGATGTGAAGTGTTGTGCTGCTGGACCACGCTGACCCAGAGATTTTTTGTAATTAATCTGAGGATCCTGGACTCAAATGTGCATTTAAATTTGTCAGAGGGCTCTACCAGCTTTGATTCTGGAGGTCTGTCCAGTTTGAAAAGTTGTGTAACAATGACATAATACGTAATATAGCATTGTATATTGTATATAACTACATTAAAAAGGAAAAATTTGTGCTTTGTTGTAGGGGACATGAACAATCTTAAACCACAACTACATGTTTGAGCACATAATGTGCTGTAAATATGATGTAACTAGAAAACTGTATGTAAAAAATAAAGTTTCATACATGCATAGCACAGAATGCACTAAGCATGTCAGTAGGCCTAAATGCAACAGTAAATAAACATAAGCAGCCTATGCTTCATGGATTGTGTTGTTGCAAACTATTTTGAATGTATAATGCATATCTATTTGATCAGTTTGAATAAATCTGTTTGTTTCCTCTATCCCTTCTATGATAATAAAATAAGAGAAAAAATATCGAATGCGAGTC